TTCCATTTAATAATGTTATATCAAATTTGAGATAACTTTCATTCTGAACTTCAAGCAATAATTAAATAAACTTGTATCCAAAACTTTTTATAAATTTACTTTTCACTTTTCCTTTTCTTTAACCCCATCCTTGGCTCCACTTAATTACTTTATAGTCATTCTTCTTTATGTAATTTGACTTTCCAAAAAAGTCAAGGTGATCATTTTCTTCTTCTTCATCTTATTGATTCTCCTCTTCCTCCTTAAACTCATCTTTAGGAAATTTAAGATTTTCTATTTGTTCAGGATTCTCGGTTTACTCACTTTCTTAAGGATTGTTTGATAAAGCTTGAGAAAAGTTCTTTTGCCCGCACTGTGCCTGTGTTCCTTGTAGCATGGATAGCAGTATTCATGCTAAATATTGCCTTCTTGCATATGTTTGAGCAACTCACTAAAATCTAAAAAGAGCAAGCATAAATATGAAAAAAAAAAACTAAAACTATTAATTGCAAATTAAAGTGGCTAAGTGCAGGAATTAGCCATAAATTAAACAACTATATTTAGCACAACCACATTCAAGCTATTGATTTCAAGCTACCATGAGGGGAGCCACAACACCACTCCTCATGTGGTAGCTCGGGTGGCAAGTCTAAGCCACACCCCATCTTGTGGCAGCCATGGCGGCCCATGCTAGGCAAGCTCAATCCACCATAGGAGCTCAAGCAATGCCATGATGATTCTTGCGGTAGCGAGAAGTGAATGTTTCTTATCTATATGCTTGTTGCTCTTTACACATCTTTCACTCAAAAACCCTAGCTAGCTAGAGCGAGATTTCCATGAGCCATGCAAGGTATCCAAGTAGATAGTGTCACCCACACTTGGATTATGAGCATTGACCATTTAATCTAAAGCCAACTCTTGATCACTTCACCAAGTTACTTCAGTTGTTCATTTATGTTTACTCTAGTCTTGGACTCTTTAATGGTTATATCATCACCCACCACATAGTCACACTGGCCTTTTCTAGCCAAATTAATTCCATTAAAATCTTCCTATACATTCTCCTTACTATACTTTTGGAATTCTTTATAGACTCCCTCCCTAGGGGATGTTTGTGTAAGCTCATGAGTTTGGACTTCCCGGGAGGTCACCCAGCTCAGTACTATTCAAACCCAAGGATGCTTAACTCCAACTATCCCAAGACCCTTAACGAATTGGAAAAGGGGGTGCACTCTTATTCATGAGCCCTTTCCCTCTATATTTGAACCCCATGGACCGTCTCTCAAGTCGTTCTCTTTAGTTGCTTACAGTTTGCTTTAAGCTTTCACCCCACAACCTGTATTAGTATTTGGACTTGAACTCAAACTAAGACTTGGACTTGGTCTCAATCTTAATCTCGACTATGGCCTCAAATTTAGTCTTGGTTTCAGTCTTAGTTTTGGACTTGAACTCCATCTCAGACCTTGTCTTGACCTCCATCTCAGACTTGGCCACAAGCTTCATCTCAAACTCAACTTTGACATTTCAAAACACCATGGCCCAATACAAGCCTCATGGGTACTTCCCCCACCTTCTGCCTCTAGGGTGCTCTAGCCATATGGCTAGAGTGAAATTCTGATGAGGCACATAAGATATCCAAATAAGTAGTGTTATTTGGAGCATTAACCATTCAATTTCCCAAAGGAGCTAGAGCTAACTTTTGACCACTTTACCAAGTAACCCCACTTATCTATTGATGTTCACTCTAACTTTGGACTTCTTAATGGTTATATCATCACCCACCACATGGGTGTAGCCTTTCTTGGTTACACTAACCTTTCCTAACTAAACTAATTTCACTAAAGTTCTCCCCCACACTCTCCTTACTATACTTTTGGAACCCCCTTTTCAGATCGCTTTGGGTTTTCACCTTTGGATTTGGACTCGGACTCAGACTCAGTCTTAATCTTGGTTTCAGTCTCAATCTTAATCTCAATCTTAAACTCAGTTTCAATCTCTATCTTAGTCTCGGTCTTGACACTTTTATATGTCATGACACTTGCCATATGTTGGTCCTTCTTATATCCCTTTCAAGTAACTCGCTTATCGATTATTTTATACTCATTCCTTAAGCACTTATTTGGGAGTTCCACTCCCACTCTTGATTTTCCGAGTTGGAGTTTTTGGTCCAAACATGTTATACTCATTAGACTTCTACCTTAGTCATTAGCATTTGGCATGGTTTCGGCTCCACTGATTTGTTCTTACAGTCCCTTAGATTGCAAATCACATTTGTAGTTGCCTAATAAACATATTTAATTTGAGAAAGTGTAGCAATGTGGATATTTTAGCTCACAATCTTTCCTAATACCAAGGCATAATCTCCTCCAACATGTCCTCTTTCCCTACAATGCTTGATGCATTAGTGAGGACATCTTAAATACCATCATCACAAAACAATTACTTGAAATTGGCCTCAAGGACTTGGAGTTGCTAAGACTGGTTGCCACTCTCACTAACATGGTATGGCATGATTATTTAGTACACAATATAAAAAAGCTTCACCACCCAGCTAAAGAAGTTTGGCAAAGCTAGCAATCATTAAAACCATATTTTCATCCCCATTATTTCTAATGCCAAAGTTTCCTCCAGATGCTAGAGGTCTAGGTTTTTTATTGTTGCTCTCCATCTCTATAACCACATCCAATATTGCTCCAAGCTCCCACAATGTAGAACAAATTGAGCTATATGTCCTCCTTGCTTGCAAGTGTAACAACATTATTGTATTGGCCACTTGTGTTAAGCCATTGCTTCTAGTTGAACAAGAACTTGCATTTATATTATACCCTACACCATGCAATTTAAGAACAACATTTACATAAATATGTTGATGCTATCTAGCAGCTTTGTGACTGGCAGATGTTCCCAAGAAAGGGTGGTTTTAGCCCTCTAGTGCCTTCTTTATTGCTGTAAGAAAATAGTGGATGCTCTAAAGAATATACAAGTTGTATAATGAATGCAATACAAATCATGATCCAATGTGAATATTTGGTATTTCCTCCACTTGAGGCAACTAGTTATCCTCAACATCATCATCTATCTCCATATGGTCTTTGTTTACCTCTCTATACTCATGTTCTCCTTCAATAGGAACTTCTTGGATGCCAGTAGGGAGGTGCATATCCTCTACTACCATTTAGACTTCTATAGATTGGACTTTTATGGTGACATTGTTGTTCTTGGCACATAAATAGCACATAAATGCATGCAAAAACACTAACACTTCAAACCAAGGTAATATATTCTAAAGCCTACCACATTTTATATTAGCCCCAAAAGCTAGACCACATGGTTTTCTTTGCTATCGATTCCAATGATTGGTGAAATGGTGATTTAGGAGGGATCAATGAGCCTCATATACTTATACAATATTGGCTCTGAAATTCTAAATTAAATTACAAAGTAACTAGTAGTTTTAATTTTGGTTGCATCCAAGTGGCAAAATCAATTAGACTTTGATTGGAAGAAATTTTCAAATCCCTGTGCAAATGATGGACATTTTTAACTTTCCTCATAAACATTTCTTCAATGCCACAGCCCTATATTCTTTATCCTCTACCCAATTAGAAAAGGTAAATTGGAAAACTTCCATATATGTCATTGGCAGTTCAACATTGCAACAATGATCTACATAGAAAATAGACTTCAAAAAACTCATCTACTGATCTTGGGTACCAACATCAGAGACCAAGACAACTGCCCTAAGTCAAACAGCAGGCAGTCAAAATTATACTCCATATCTATGCAAGTGATAATAGAAATATGCCATCATGGATGTATTATGGCCATAAAATTGTAGACTAGACAACATGTGGACGGTTTTGTGCCTCGTTGTTCAGACACTTGTGACAAACTTCACAACTATTAAACTATCAATCTTGAATAGAGATATTTATACTTAAATAGACTGGGTTTCAGACTGGAATACTAAATTTATTTTTAGAAGTTTGATGACTTGGCTTTAAGATTTACATAGGTGCAAAAGTTTTACATTATAAGGGGTTAGCAATTCCTCCTAGTGGTTTTATGTTTTAATGCCAGATCCTTGGCTAATTGCGGATCCTTGGAGTAGCATAGAGAGTGATTGTATAGAGAGCTGTAATACTAGTTCCACTGTCAGTAACATTTGCTAGTGAAACTTGAATGTCACCAAAGGTTCCAAGGTAACGGCCAATACCACTGGTAACGGAGAAAACAAACTTGGAGGAGAGAGATCCATCGGCTGTGCCAGAAAAGTATATGCTTCCACTTCCATCCTTGAAAGCTATGGTGCCCGTCTGGAATGTAGAAGTGTTTGTGGTGGCACCAACAAAACCCGTGATTGTCCCTAGCTGGGCTGAGAAGTAATCCAGCGCTTTGGTGAACTTTGCGCTGTACGTTGCCTGGTATCCTGGAGTGTAATTGGGGAACTGCTGTACGGGCCCCCCGGATACGGGGAACTCGGTTTGAGTCTTGCTGCCTACGGTACGCCCAACAATTTGCACGTAAATCTAGAACAAATGCTTAGCGGGATCAGGAAAAAACAAGAGAGAGGGTTTTTCGACCTTTTTTGTGCCCAGCAGATGATACCGACCAGGAAACGATGCAGTAGCCTGGAAAGAAAAAAAGAAGAATCCGAAAATTATTTGTGGAGCTTTAAGTCTTTGAATGTACCCCTGCGATAACAACGCCAATCAGGAGCGCCATGATCAGGAGTTGGGTCATGCTCGGACTATGCAGTGAGTGACAAAGCTCTCCGATAAAATATCAAGTGCTGAGTGTAGAAAGTCGTGATTGCCAACCGCAGGAGAAGAAAAGTTTAAAATCATCTCTGTCGGTGCTCAAAGTCAAACTCCGATATGATCTCTTTATGTTATCTTTTGTGTGACCTCAGAGAAGCTCTAAGTCAAGGTGGTGTTTGCTGCAGTTTACAAAGCTCAAGGATGCCTTGACGCGGTATTTGCTATAGTTCACAAAGCTCTAGGATGCCTTTACAGGCTATTTGCTGCATTGTATGGATGCTGGTTCCAGTCGCATTGTCTCTGAGTCTAGACACAGCGCAAAATGCGATATGGTCCATCATCCCATCAACGCTGGTTGGGGCTTTAGGTCCTCCCAAAAAGAGCTTGGACGTAATTGCGCGCAGTCTGGATATTACAAATTTAGGGTTCTTGGCGGATAGGAGTAGCGAGCTAGGGTTTATTGGCAATGTGATCGCCAAGCAATGCAGCTGGTAAGGCAGTTCCTCTCCATAATCTTGCCTAACTTTGTGACGCAGGCACGAACTTTGGGGAATTTCGTGTTTCTCGAGGGATGAGTCTATGCAGCTCTACTGCCTTGTAAGCGTTAAGCTCCTCAGTAGAAATGCTTAAAATCTTGGAGTCTCGCAGGCCAGCATCACGAGTATCTGCCAGCTCCTGGGACAGAGAAATCCCGCAAAAGAATTCCATTAGATTGTTCCCAGGAAGAAGAGGAGCACTGACGGTGTGTAGCGCTCAACATGACAAGAGTCTGGATGATCAAACTGGTACCAGATGAAATTGAGGTAGAGTGCTGATGCTTTTGCATCTATATAGGTGAAGGCAAGGATAAAAGCTTGAGCGTGCGTCCAAAGAGAGTTCCATGGAACAAGGGACTTAAAATGCTGCCGGGGCCATGCAAGGGTCGGACTCCTGAAGAGCAACTCAAGGTGGAAGAGCTGCGGAGGCAACGAATCAGTGCCGCGAACAAAGGCCGGCTTCCTTGGAACACAGGAAGAAAACATCCACCAGGTTTCTCGATTTGTTTTGTTACTTTCCAACTTGCTGAGCTATCGAGATTTTTCCTTTCTTTCCGCGACAGAGACTATCAAGCGAATCAGGGAGAGAACGTTACTGGCGATGAGAGATCCCAAGGTTTGGAAAAACATATATGATAGCTGCATCTTTTGTCTTTGTTTTTTATGGACAGATCAGGGAGAAGTTGCGGGGGTTCCAGCAAAATTTGAGGTAAAAAATTTCTGCTCTTTTGTTACGCGATGGATTGACAAGCTAGATGTTTTACAGCGCTGACATCAAAGCCAAGATCAGCATCGGGGTGCACGAACACTGGGTAAGAAAGCTCAAGGACATAGCGTTGCAGAAACAATGCCTGGCCGAGTGGCAAGAATGCATTGCAGAGGCTGCGAGACAAGGAGGAGACGACCAAGAGGAACTGCATTGGGATAGTTACGATGTCGAGAGGCAACGGGAGAAAGAAGAAATCAGGCAACTCAAGGATGGCATGCGAGTCACGTCCAGAAGCCAGAGGAGGTTGGAATGGAGTGATGAGCACCGCCGGAAAGTTTCAGAGGCTATCAAAGCCAAGTGGAAATCGGAAGTAAGCTTCAGTTTTTCTTCATTTCCTCGAGGAGCTTAAGATTGCGTGTTTTGGTGTAGGAGTACAGGACCAAGGTGATGAAAGCTCTGAAACAGCGAGTAAGAGACACTAAAGTATCCTCGAAGCCCCGGAGGGAACCACGGCCACCGAGACCGGCAAGGCCTCCAAAGCCTCCGAAACCTCCAAAACCAGTTGGAATTCCACTCGTTGGTGGTGAACCGCGACGAACAGCCGCGGGGGTACGCGTAAACGAGAAGTTTGTGTCCGCGGTTATGGCTGGCGAAGATAAAGAAGCTGCGAATGTGCTCAAGAAGAAGCCACCGGTGAAGGTGAATGGCGTTGCGCATTCTAGGCTCGAGAGTGCGACCGATAAAGCCAAGAAACTTTCTCCCCCGGTACCAACGTTCGTGGACTTGCGAGCGTCGGAGAAGACCGAGAAACTCCGCGAACTGCGGGCGAGTCGGTTGCTGGTTGATACGAAGAAGAAAGAGGCCGCCGAGCGAGCAAAGTAAGTGTTTGGGATTCTCTTATCGTTCCAAAACTCATGGCTGTGTTTTTCACGTATAGAATGTTGATGGCTGAGGCTGAAGCCGCTGCTAAAGCTCTGGAAGCCATCGCGTTCAAAGACCAATTCGCAATGGCATCGCTGCTCGAGACACGCAAGCTGCTAGCCGAGGCCGCGCGATCCATCAAGGCGGTGGAATGCAAGCCCGGGGACGTAAGTATCCTCGCGGGGGATAAGGAGACGCTTGAGCTCGATGACGATCAGAGCTCCAGAAAAGACCACGGCTCGATCGACGTGGCCGCAAAGGCCAACGAGGAAACGTGTACAGATGTCGAGAGGGAGATGCTACAAGAGATTCCGGGCAGTGTTTCCAGAAGGGCAAAGAGATGGCACTGTGGGAGGCTGGTTTACAGGGACGAACAAACATAGATTGCTAAAGGGACGAGGTCGGAGCTATTAAAACGTTTGAAGTTGTCTTTTCCCTTTCATGGATCCTGGGAGAGGTCCTCACGACTATCAAGGTTGGGGAGTTTCAAGAAGGATTGGATGGCATCACCATCACTTTCGGCCCCCAGTTCCAGTTCCTCCGTCTCCATCGCCAACTCCATTCGCTCCAGCTCCAGCTCCATTCCCATCTCCTATTACTCCAACACCATTCCCATCTCCAACTCCATCTCCAACTACTCCAACTCCATTCCCATCTCCAACTCCATCTCCAACTACTCCAACTCCATTCCCATCTCCAACTCCATCTCCAACTCCAACTCCAACTATATCACCAGCGTCAACAAAAACAACAGCGCTTCTATCTTTGATTCCTTTTGTGGTGTTCGTAGGGGTGGTAGCTCTTCTAGCGTTTGGGCTTTGGTGGGTCTTTGAGAGAAAAAGGAAAGATGATGGTGGTGATGGAGATAGGGAAAAACATGAAACTCGAGTCGAGCTAGGTTTTATCAGCTATCGCAACGAAGCGGAGCTCAAGCAAGCCGAGGATGGTTTACTAAGAGGAAAAGAGGGAGACTTTGGGATTGACGTTGGCGCACAGGAATGTTCAGAAGCTACAATACACCATGTAGATTCTATCCAAACTAGCAGCAAGGAGAGAGTTGGTGACGTCAATAGTTGCCATGCACAAGAATCTTCAGAAACTATCCAAACTAGCAGCGAAGATAAAGCTTGCGAGATAGAAGAATTAGGTCATGCCAAGGAACAAGGTGGCGGCGGGAACAATAGGTAAACTTGATTTTATTTTTCTCCTTGATGTTATGCATTTGCATGATAGATTCCAGAAGAGCCAATTCGGGAGGTCTTTGGCCGCAGAGTATGTAGATGCTGCAATGGCTTGCATTCGTAACGATGGAACAGGGACAAATTCCTCGTTTACCGTCGTAAGGATGAGGACCGCACTGATAAAACTCACCCGGGCCATGGAAATTCTGAAGGCGGAGAGCAGTGAGCACGAGGGCCTGTTTGAGGTCTTCAACTTGATGGGATTTGCAAACCTGGAGCTCGAAAATATTCCAGTAGCCTCCTCACACTTCGAGAGGGCAAAGGCGATCGCTGAGAAGAACTTTGGAATGGGGCATCCCAGCATCTTGGCTGCAGCTCTCAGCCTGGTAGCGGTATACTCGTCCATGAACAGGTAGGTATCTAATTTGGTTTTTCTTTGATTTTTATGTTTTTTTTCTGAAAATTTTAGATGGAGCCAAGCAATTAGATGCCAGGCCGAGGTTCTAGAGCACCTCCAGGCACAAAACGTGCATCCAGATGTTCTCAAGGAGCACAAGGCCAAGCTCCAGAGGCTACACGATGAAGAGCTTCAACAGTGATTTTTAGAAGATTACCCCAGTAGCTCAACAGTCAAGCAATGCTCCTTGAGAACAGTTAGAGAGGCTAAGGAGAGAAAACTTTTAGAGTAGAAAATGTAAGATTATTTCAAAACAAAATGACTCATTTGACAATATCAGAGTGATATCCTTTCTAAACAACCACCAAAGTTAAGGTGTTCTGACATTGGTGGGGTTGTATACATGTTATCAACATGTTAAATTCTACTTGCATAGAATCCTTACTATAATCTATTATAGTAGGATCTCATGCAAGTTGTATACAACCTTTGGTTAAAGTTTTTTGAAAAGGAAGTTCATACGAAATCATTTGGTACACTATATTAAGTGTGGAGATTGTCACCACCGGGCCACATTCACTAATCAAAGGTCATTTTGTTCCTAGTTCATATTTATAGCTAGAAAGAATTACTAATAATTAAATCAAAGAGAAAAAAACTGATAAGATGAAGGCTTTGTTGTGAGAGCCATCTCAATAAAGAGTGGATCAAATAAGTGAGTAGAATATATTTCTATATTCTAGGTATTTTCTTTACACAAACCAAACTATCTTGATAATATAATTTTAATTATGTGCTACAATAGTGATATTAATATAACTATTTTATTTTACCTCTCACTTGTCTTGTCTTCTAATTTAGAAAGAAAGAGATAGAAGAATTTATATCCAACCAAATGATCAATATGAACTGAAACTATGGCTGAGAATTTATGTCTGACAAAAATACACTATTTTCCCAAGTTTTTCATTGAAATCACCTCACTAAGATTTGATGGATAAATATGCTCTTTTTATTTAAAGGATTACAACAAAATTAGAAAAGAATATCCTAAGATATACCTGGATAATTCCAAGGATATTAAAAAACCAATCTAAATGAATAATAACCGTCAGATTGAGAATATACTAGAATATTTATATTTTGAGAATAGTGAAACATTTAGTATTATTTATTAATTTAATTCACCAGATTATCTTATTGCATATCAACCATTAGATGGTAGAGTATACTATATAAATTAGAAATACCTGGTAGAATATCCCAAAATATCCGAGCATATTCTAGAAATATATATTCAGAAAACGACATCAATTTTTTTCAAACATAATCCAATCAAGAGTAGACTTCTTAGCTCTGTCTGGTGGTGTTCACATCAGAAGACATTAAAATCAAATGAAGTTTATTTTGTTCATAATCAAGTAAAGCAAAATGACATTTAAGCCTAGGCCTGCTTAACCATTTCCAATCCCATGTACCTGCAGAGGTGATTTAGTTCAACCAAACAAGAATAACGAAAATGAGAAATAATACTGTACCTTGCTAGCATCATGAAAGTCGACTGAGGATTCGTCCCTGGAGAGAAATCAAACACGCTGCTATCAAGCACTCGGAGTTTTTCGACCCCAATAACTCGGTAAGTTCGATCCACCACCTTTCCCACTCTACAGCTACCATGGTAATGCCACATGGTTGCCAGGCCTGTTCGACAGTATAGTGCGAGTGTTGTGTTGATGGTTGGCTTTAGTAAAGGATTCCTTCGATTTGGAGCAGCCACAATGCCACCAGAAGGCATGGGCTGTAAACCAGTGATGAAAGGCCTGAAGCTGGAAGTCAGTAAAACTTCTTCAAGTGTGTTGGCTCCACTCACGCACGTCTGCATATCAACAGAGTCTTTGAAGTAGTTAAAGGTGACTTGAGGATTATCATCAGCATTCAGAGTTAAAAGTCAGATCTCTCCACTTGAACGAGGCTTAGCAACCTTCTGCGTGACCACAACGATTGGACTCTGCTGCGGACTGCTTAACCCTTCGAAGTATGTTCCAGATGGATCGATCCCCACACTTTGAATGAGGGAAACTTCAACTGGGGATGGTGAGTCGATGTAGACTCTGGTGGATGGATTGTCAACTATGTGTTTTCCAACATCGGGGGAATCCGCGACCACTTTGATTATCTTAGCTTGAAGGTGGTCTCTGGGACCAATTCCACTAAGCATGAGCAGCTGAGGAGTGCCTATTGCACCTGCTGTGAGTATCACTTCACTTTTGGATGAATTCCGGAGAAGAACAGTATACGTTTTCCCAGATAAACAGCCTGTGACTAGAACACCTACAGCTCTTGGAGTACCAGAACCTATTTAAGAGAAACGAAAACACGTCAAACTTATAAAAACTGAATAATTACCTGAGAAGATGATCTTCTGAACAAGAGCGTTTATCACAACTTGGACGTTGCTCAGATTCGCATACAGGGGCAACAAGTTTGATGCAGGCCTCCGAGTTCCATTCCCATCAAAGAGAGTGCCTCCAACCTTCGCTCCTGGAAGGTGATCGTAAGTTACACCATTATCGGGCGTCACACCAGCTTGGAGCAGCGCATTCTTGTAAGCGGTCTGAAAGGGTCCAGTCCGAGGCAGCGATGATATCCCGTTCTCAAGCCACTCATAAGATGCATTCACTTGAGCGTAGTCATCCAAGCCCACGATGCTGTCTATCTCGGACTTTGGTGCGCGAGTCATGAAGCCACCGTTGATGGAGCTTCCTCCCCCAAGGACTCTTGCTCTTGCATTTAGTACCAGGTCTGTGGTCAGAAATGCTTGAGAATGAGCTAGATCGAGCATGCTCACTGCAAAATTCTCCTCTCTCATCAGCACGGGATATCCATACGGGGAGTCGCCTCTTTCCAGCAGCACGACTTTGAACTTTTGCGACAGAGTTGCCGCTAGTGCACATCCACAAGCACCTCCTCCAACAATGATGTAGTCATAGCCTTCTGGTGCGAATCTGGCATCTGCTGCTTCTTCAAAAAATGAGAAGTTTAGAGCCAGAGTAGCGGGAACTGAAAGTAGAGTTAGCACAACTACAAAGTAGCGTGATGGGGAGAAATTGTCACGCATGACTTCTTTTTCATTTGCTTCGGTTACATGCATGGGTATTTAAATTGGTGCATTACCTAATTTTAGGTTGAACAACTCATAGAATCTTTCCTCCATAAGTTTTTCTTTTCCCCTTAGGATTAGTATGGTGCTTTCGTGCTCTTGCTATGCAACTCAAATCCAAGTGCTGGAGTTCTATTTCCACGACACGATCGATCTAATCAATTCCAGGAGCATGCATGCGGCTTGTTCACCATGACTAGCAATTCCACGGTGGCTTTCGTCCCGGGTGGCAAGTTTGGAGCGATCGACGATGTTCTCACCAAGGGTCCATCCCATCGCGTGACCCGAGATTGTGGGACGAGCCAAAGGGACGTACGATTCCACCAACACCATCACCCACAACCGGTTTGTTCTTGACGCTTGTGGTGGCTGTATTCGAGGATGGTAAAGAGTAAAACAAGTTGATATTCACGAGTCTTTCATGCTCTATATGTAAGCTATTTCCTGACTGATTGGTGCGTGATTCCTAGGGACCTAAGCAGATTAGCAACTGCTACCTTCCACATGCCCTCCTTGATCTGTTGCTCATATTCCCTGGAAAAGCTGTGCCTCACCCAACACCAAAATGCAAAGATGTCTACTGTTTGTTTGTTATGGTTTTGATGTTAATCACTCCATGCTATTTGGTGAAAGTATTTAAATCATGTTTTACCAACATTATATGCAAAAATCCTTAGAATCTTTGGCAAGGGCACAAAAGTACCAATGGTAATAAGCTGATCCAGTGTCGATGAAGTTTATCAACATCATGTGGCTACCATACAAAATGGAAGCTCAACTTGGTCTCCTAATATATCAAATGGGTAAATGGATGGGCAACATATAGCACACATATCTCACGTTCAACCCATCAATGATAATATAGCACAATGTAGGCCATCCAATATCTGGACATGGTTTATCCTGTTTGCCATCCTAACACAAAACTAATCTGAAACAAAAATAGAGAATGTACTCAAAAAAAATTTGGACAGAAAAATTCTGAATGCCTAAACGTTAGCTCTGAAATCAGTCACGTCACGTGTATGCAAATGGGAGCTCCGTCTCGTACGCAAACAGGGCCGGCGGTGGTGGCGTTGCAGCGGAGTAATCCGGTTTACATTCTCGCCGCTCTTCCTCCTGCTTTGGCACAGACGTTTCCTCCATCACCATCTCCTCGTAGCTACATTCATCCTCCTCGTTACCATTGCCTCCATTCTCTTCGTTACCATCATGCTCAGCGTTTGCCATGTCCTCCTGGACGGGCTCGCCAGCGCCCTACACAGAGAACAACAAAGGCTTCGTAGAAAAGGGGGAAAGAAGAAAAGCCAACCTCACCTTGGTAGCATTGATATCCCAAGTGAAATCAAACTCGTCCTCTGCGGTCGCTTCCGCGGCTGCTGCTGCCTTGAGCTTGTTCACAAGCTCCTCATAGTGAGCCAAATCTGGAAATTGACATCGTTAACACTGGTTTGACAAAAGATGGAAGGTAAAATGCTCAGTAACACACCTCCCCTGGGTTGGAGAATTGTCTGCGACATACGCCTTGGATTCTCCTTCTCTTCCTTCTTGTACTTCGCTTTTATCTGTTTGCGTGTCTTCCCCGGAAACAGGCATTTTATGACAGCAAAATCAGTGCCAAACTGCTGAACAGACTGATCAAACGGATGTTAGACTGGCGCAAGTACTTTGGCTTTTGTACCTTGTAAAACATGTCAGTCTCTTCAGGCTTCCATCTATCCCTTGGGATCTTGTCCATGTAAGAATGATAATTTAGTTTCGTTGTTGTCTCGTCTATGCGCCTGTAGGATCCAACGTCGTCTTGGTTGAAAGCCCTCGCGTCTACTTCCAGGCTCTGCTGATTAATAACGATCTTTCCATCCACGACCTCGACTTGCGGTGCTAGAGGAACCCTGTCGAAACAAGTCAAGTAAAGAAAGCGCAAAACGAAAGAAACTAAGCACATACGCTTGCTCCTTCTCTCTATCCCGCTGCTCGGTTGCGCCAGCAGAGGCTCGCTGTTCCTGCTTCTTAGCGGCCTCCTCCTTTTGCTTCTGTTAATGCATAAGTTCATCAGAAAAAGAAAGCAGGTCTTCTTTGAGAAAAAAACAGACTCACCTTCCTCTCCTTTGCTTCCGCAAGCTTGATAATATCTTTCATAGTCATCGTCGCAGGATCGATGGCCTCGTCAACATTGATATCAGCTGTGGATAAAATGTGTATGTGAGAGCCTGAACTGGGATACAAAAGAAAGACGTACATCTACCTCGCTTTTGGCGTGGAGATGGGCTCCCTGACGCCCTCTTCCTTTTTCCCTTGGAGCTCTCACCCGTCTCGCTGGTGGAGGGTGGCACCACAGAAGGCGGCCGCTGTTTCTGGCTAGAAGCCGATGGCCCGGCAGAGGTTGAAGGCCCGGAAGGATCCTTCCATGAAAAGCAACCGTCAAGAAAGAAACAAAGAAAAGAGAAATACTCTTACCAATCGGGCCGATGGAGGCAATGTAGATTGCGTGCTCCGCGATGATACCCCTCGAGTTTCTCTCAGGGCGGCTGGCGGATTACTGGGGGCTGGAGCCCCAGATGTTGCCGCTGCTACTGGAGCCGGAGGAGCTATCGGAGCTACTGGCGCCGCCGGAGTCGGCGATGGAGGTGGAACAGGCGATGATTCCTGTGTAGGCGCGATATTTTCATCCGCGGCAGCGGCTTTTCGAGCTCGCGGCTTCACCTTTGGCTGGAATGCAGCGGAGCGACTAGCTGGAGAGAAGAAAGAAGAAGAAATTCCACGAATTCAATCACAGGAACCACAAGAAACCAAGCACTCACAGGGAGCCGCTCCAGCCGCATTCAGCGCTTGCAGCGATGACAACATCCTCGCAGCTCGCGCCGCGCACCGCCGGCGCTCCTCTCCCGCGCTTCCCTCTGTGTCCCTCGCCCGTGAATTACATAGCGGATAAACCCTAACAAGAGAGAAAGATAAGGGCTTTCTTGCAGGCCGTCCGATCTATCTAACGGCTGCGATTCCATGCCAAGTGTATCTTCGTCCTCCTCGCGCTCTTGATGGCGGATGTCCAAGTCTCTCGGATTTCGCTTTCATCGACGATCGTTTGTCTCTGGGCCTCAACTCGCGAGTCTCGAAGGGGCGCTGAAGGGGATAGATCCGTCACAGCCCCTAAAATGCCAGGAAATCTACACTGCTTTGCTCAAGAGCTACGCCCACAAGCAATCCCTCGACGATGCGCGGCGTCTCCACGCTCACATGATCCAAACCGGCTTCGATCGCCTACAAATCCTGGGAAATCTCCTCATCAGCACATACGGGCGGTGTAGAGATCCCGGGAACTCGCAAAGGGTCTTCGAGAATTTGGAGAGAAGGAACATCTACTCGTGGATCAGCCTCGTCTCTGCGTATGCCCAGAATGGTCACCTCCCGGAATCCTGGAGAGCGTTCGCGCTCATCCCCCAGCGAAGCATCCCCTGCTGGAACGCGATGATCACTGCTCTCGGCCAAAACGATCGCGCTCCCGCAGCCAGGGAGCTCTTCGATGCAATGCCGGATCGAGAAACCGCGTCCTGGAACTCGATGATCGTCGGGTATGCCAAGAACGGGCATAGCCGAGAGGGATTCCACCTCTTTCTCGCCATGACCCTCGAAGGCGTGGAGCCGGACAGGATAACTTTCCTGGGGGTCATCGACGCTTCCGGGAACCTCGGGAACTTGAAGCTGGCGAGGATGATCCACGAGGAGATTCTCTTGTCGGGTGAATTCCAGCACGACGTCTTCGTTGGAACTGCGATTGTCGGAATGTATGGAAGATGCCGCAGCCCCGACGACGCACAGCGGAGCTTCGACTCCATGTCCGTCAAGAACTCCGTGTCGTGGACATCGCTGGCAGTAGCTTACGGACAAAACGGATGCCTTGAGCGCGCGCTGTCGGTGTTTGAGCAGACACCCGACAAGACTGTCGTGTCGTGGTCGGCTATGGTGGCGGCGTACGCTCAAAACGGCCACTCCAATCTTGCGCTGCTCGTCTTCAAGCTCATGGATCTCCACGGCTTCTGTCCAAACCTCTTGACTTTCACCAGCGCTCTGGATGCCTGCGCAAGCTCCTCCGCCAGAGCGATTGGAGACGGCCGGATCCTTCACTCGGAAGCCTCTGCGCTTGGAATCGATGACGATGTTCATATCGGAGGCGCGCTCGTCAGCATGTATGGGAGCTCCGGGTGCTGCAACGAGGCGAAGTCGGTGTTTGATCGCCTCCCCGTGAGGAACGAAGTCGTGGGGACTGCGATGATCGGAGCTTACGCCGAGGCGAGTGACTTTCCTGCGGCTCTGACGATCTTCCGGGGCTTGGACCTCGCCGGCTACAAGCACCGCAGTATAACTTTCGTCACCATTCTTAATGCCTGCGATGATCTTCGCCAGGGAAACGCCTTGCACGAGAGGATCATCGCCGCTGGGCTCGAATCCCACACCATCACTGCCACTGCGCTTACTTGCATGTACAGGAGATGCAAGAGCCTTAGAGATGCCCGGTCCGCCTTTGACAAGCTGCTGGATAAGAATGTCGTCAGCTGGACTGCGATGATCGTCGCCTACGTCGAGAACAACGACGAGAGAGAAGCTCTCGACCTGTTTAAGAAGATGGACGTCGAAGGAACCAGTCCGGACGTGGTGATCTTGACCGCTGTTCTTGATGCCTGTGCCAACATCTCGGGTCTCTCCCAAGGACGAGCTATCCACCGTGCTCTCGAGGATGGTAGCGTTCCTCTCACCGAAGTGGCTACCGGGTTGATCGACATGTATGGAAAGTGCGGCAGCGTGGTGGACGCCAAGTTGGTCTTTAATGCGCTGGAGGAACAACTCGGAGCAGAAATGACATTGCCTTGGACTTCCATGGTGACGGCCTTTGCTCAAAATGGGCACGGTCTGGAAGCTGTGGAGCTATTTCGATCAATGGAGCTTCACGGCGTCGAGGCCAATGAGATTTCTCTCGTGAGTGTCCTTTGTGCGTGTAGTCACTCGGGCTTGATCACCGAAGGCTTGAGTTACTTCTCCTCTATTGAACAGGACCGGGGATTAGCTCTTCTGCCTGAACATCAAGTCTGCTGGATAGATCTGCTAGGAAGGATTGGGAAGTTGGAGTTAGCGGAGAATGCGATGGAGAGTATACCTCTCTCTCGCGACGAGAAGATCATAGCCTGGACAGCTTTTCTCGGAGCTTGCAAAACTCACGACGATGAGAGGCGAGCAAAGCGTGCTGCTGAGAAGCTTGTGGAGCTGGATTCCAAACTCTCCTCGTCTTACATAATGCTATCCAACGTTCACTCGCTTTCCTGCGAGCTCACCAAACTTGTCAAGGCATCCAAGGCAGTGTCGAGCACCGCAAAAACAATAGGAAAAAACATACTGGCCAGGCGATGACAACGGCGATGGATCAAAAAGCTTCGTTACAAATCTGTCTCGGCATTGCTAAGGTTTTGCAAAATCTCTGACTTGATATCGTCTGGCATAACCGCTGTTGGTCCAGATTTCAAGTAGAAACTCCCAAGCTGCCGCAAAGCTTTTCCCAAAACTTGATACGAGCTCTGCATATAAACAATGAGAAGGAGAAAAGCTATGAACCTGGCTTACTTGTTCTTGGACCTCTTTGGAATTTTTCCATTTCGTGAGGTACTCCCGAATGGAATCCTTGGCAGTGTTTGCAGCCTCCCGGAACTTCTGCTCCTCCTTGGCTGGATCCTTCTGCAAAGCCTCGCGCAAATTCTTCACTACATCCCGGGCCGCCTTGAGGTAGCTCTTTGGCAGCTTCTTCCCGGACTTCGTCGTCTCGTTTGGATCAAACACCGACAGAATCCCATCCAGCAAGCTCTCCTCCTTCTTGACACTAGCCTCCTGCTCTGCCCGAGCTGCCGCTGGAGGCAGCGCTACAATAGGAAGCGCGAGCATCGAAAATGCGAGCTCCCTGCGGCTCCAGATTCCAAGGAAAGATCGTCCGCTGCGATCCAAGGCCAAGATCATACCTGGAATAGAATTCGCGTGCGCCATAAAACCCCTATCGCCAAGAACCCTAAATTTCATTTCCCGCCAAAGCCACACTTTAAATTACCTCATTTAACCCCAGAGAGAATGGGCCTGTAAGAGATTCCATTGAGCTCTTCGAACAGCCACTTGAGCTGTGTCATGTCCTTCACGTTGTAATGCGCATTGAAATGGTTTCCTGGGCGAAGAACTGGCTCCGGAGATATCTGCTGGAAATCTGTGCGGAACCATTGAAACATCCCTGTTTGTCTTGGTTTTTCTTGGCTGCCCGCAGCGAATTCCTCAAGATTTCCCTCGGCAGCAGCAGCATTTTTGGCGTCGGTCACGCGGCACTTGAAGATTCCGGCAGGATTCATGAGGTCTGGGATTAGATCTGCCGAGACCACCTATGAAAAATTGGATTTTGTAAGCTCTAGCAGCGAAATGAGATGAGAATGCTTACCACCATGACTTGATTCGCAGGAAGACACCACTTTGAGCAGAGAGAGCTCACCACATCCTCACTGCAACAAAGTTTTCTCATCGTTTTCTATCATCAAACCAAAAAAATCTAGTCCAACCTCAATCCATCTTCGGTGTTCTCGACGCAGTCGAAGCTAAACTTGTGAAGCAGCTGATCAAGGTATGCCCGTTCCTGGTTTCCATTGTTTGGAGCCACGAGAGCCTGGAGCACTCCTCGTTCCTACGACCAAGAGAAAATTCAGTCACCCAGATAAACGCGCAAGGAAAAGAGCTCTTACTCGAGGCGAAGAAAAGAGAAAAAAGAATTCTTGCCGAGAAATCGAAGATCAAACTCTTCATTCCTGATTTCTCACCTGCAAGTATCCCAGTAATTGCATCGACCCTCGCACAGCTTCAAACTTGTTGTCCGAAGATATCGATGGCATGGCAAAATTCTCATCGCCAGCTTCCACACCAAATCGTCCCTGCTGCTCCCTTCTCGATTCCGCGGCCATTCTCCTTGCCATTAGCTTCTCGGCATACTTTGATCTAATGCTCTGCCTGGACCCGATCAAGCCCTCCATCTCCTCCAATGTCTCCTTCCGCGGCTGCGAATCCGATACTACCCGCTGCTCCCGGCAGCATTCCCCCAATCCCGAGCCCAGCGATCACATCGGCCGCTGCCACGGTCCCCGCCACTTCCGAGGTGCTCGATCTCGCGCTCACAGATGCGGACGAGCTGCAATCTTTGCCGCCGCCGCCGGCCACGACCGATTTACCGGACGATGCCGGCTGGAGGAACGCTCGACATTCGTAAATCACGCCACGGATCGCAAAGCGCGCCCCCATTTTGCCCTAGCATACATTTCTATGCCACGTCATAGCTTCATTTGAATGCCACGTCATACTTACTTTATGTCCACGCGTCGCTCCGTTTCGCACACGTCACGCGCTAATTGGCCGTTAATCTTCCTACGTGGCGTTCACGTTTACTCCACGTCAAGCGCTCTTGGCGCCAGGTCATTCGGCTATAAGGAGAAACCCTAGTGCTGGGGAAGCTCGCAGCTATGGCGGAGGGCGAGGAGGAATTCGGCGGCAGCTCCAGCGGCAGCAGCGGCAGCATCGACGTGATCCCGGACAGCATCGTCTCCTCCATTCTCTCCAAGCTCGTCGAGGCGCGGCGCATTGCCCAGGCGGCGACCGTGTGCCGCCGGTGGCGCTACTCCTCCACGGGCGTTCACGTCCTCCGCCTCGACTTCTTCGGCGATTTCGACCACCGAGGTACTTGCGGCTCGAGCCTGAATAGCGAATCGAGCAGCGAGATCAGCGGCAGCAGCAGCTGTAGCGGCAGCGATCACCACCGCGGCGATGGCGCCGGGGGGCGGCGGCGATCCACGGGCGAGATGCTCCAGATTTACTCGCGGATGCTGGAGCGCTGCTCGGGCCTCCGGGAGCTCCTCATCGATCGCCTCGTGTGCCGCAGCTCCAGCGGCGAGCAGTTCCTGTACTCCTGGGCCACCAATCTCCGCCACTCCCTCGAGGTGTTCCACTTCCGGGGCCGATTCGACTTTAGCGGCGCGCTCGTCCGCGGGCTCGCGAGCTGCCACAAGCTCCGCAGCCTCGAGTTCGTGGACGAGATGGGTGGAGTTTGCGGCTGCCAGTGCTCCAAGTTTGAGATCGAGGATGAGAATGGTGGCGCCATCATCTTCCCGAGCTTGCGAAGGTGCGTCTTCCAGGACATGCTCATGAACGATTCCAAGCTGGAGAAGTTCGTGAGCCTGTGCCCGGTGCTGGAAGATCTCGAGGCCCTCCATCTCTTCGGCCTGGAAGCTCCCAGCCTCGCCGCCGCCACCCTTCTCCACTTCAAGCTCGTGTGGAAGCCCAAGAAGGAGAACTGCTTCTACGTGGACGAGACGCCGCTGCGCTGCCTCAAGCTCGCGTGCCCCAGGCTCGCCAGCCTCGCGGTCGACTGCGTCAAGGAGGTCCATCTCGACGGAGCCACGCTGGTGGAGCTCCGGGCGCTCTGCTACTTCAAGCCCGTGTTTAAGCGGCCGCCATCTTTGAAGGTGTTGGAGCTCGCGAGCAAAGGCTGGCCGTCGAGCGGGATCTACCAGTTCCTGGACATGGCGAAGCACGCTCGCGAGATCTCCATGAGGCTGAAGCTCGGCCACCACCACCGGAAGCAGCCGTTCTCGTTCCCGGATATGTTCGAAGGCTTCACGGAGCTGCGAACACTCAAGATCGGGCTGGATATGTTTGAGGTCTGTCGATGCTTTAGTCTTGCTCGGAAGTTACAGCTCTCTGATGTGATTTGCCAGGCCTTGCAAGTCGGTAGCTTGTCCGAACCGTTGATGCATTCGCGGCCACCGCTCGAGGACGTTACTTTAGTCGCTGACAGTGGAAACAAGAACGCGATCAGCTTGCTGTCAAGTATTCTCGAGTGCGATACCTTGTCGACGTTGCGGCTCAGCTTGCTGGAGCGCCCCAGCGGAACGTTTTGCACGAGCTTGCTCAAGCTCCAGTCGCGGTATAACAAGGTCAGCATCGTTGTGGACGCGCAGGACACGGATGATGAGGACGACGAGAGCGAGTACGAAGATGATCTCTCTTTCTCGGACGCTGACAACGACGAGGAGGATGAAGGCGAAGAAGAAGATATAGACGAGGACGATTACGAGACAGAAAGGACTCCAAGTGCATCGGAGACAGATTATGAGGACTTGCCTTGATACAAGCTGGGAATGCGAGATTCAGAGTCACTTTCTTGCTGGTCCCCATTTTCGAGCCTGTGGAAAACCAAGTTATCTGCACGGTCCAGGAAGAACAGGAAAGAATTCCAACCTGAGAACCTCTCGTGGATGTTGTCAGTTGAACATCGCCATCGCTGTCGTGCTCGTTCTCCACTTCGTCGTTGTCCTCGTCGTCCACGGACCTCGACTTGGACGATTGTGTTCTTCCTCGCTTTGGAGTGCTTTGGCCTCTGCCTCGCCCTCTTGACGTTGATGCGGCCCGCTTTCTTCCTTTGGTCGGAGTCGGCTCCTATCAAACCACACTTGTGAGGAGAGAAGAACGAGAAGAAATTGCTACTTACCGCGTCACTCTCTGGGTCTTCGGGCTCGTCATTCGCTGATGATGCAGCGACGTCTTCTTCATCACTGTCTGCTGCTGTTGCTGCGGTTGCAGCAGCACGACTACTAGACCTGTATGGAAAGCCGTCGTAGAAACTTTGATGGAAGAATAAATGTATACCGTCTGGGACGTGCTCCAATCGCGGTGTCTAGCGTCGTTTGTTTCATGTTTTGTTTTCCTCTGCCTCGGCCCCTTCCTCGACCACGACCTCGTCCGCGGCCGGTTGGCGCGTCATCCTCATCGTCGTCATCATCACCAACAGCAGCGGCAGAAGCTCTTGACTTTCTCGTAGCGGTGGCTTTTGTAGCTTTAGCTTTGCTCGCTTTCGTTACCACTGTAGTTCCCGAGATACCAAAATCGTCATCATCGTCGATATCAACAGTTCGTCTCTGGCCAGAAGTCGAGCCTTTAGATTGTGTGACTTGCGACCACGGCCGAACTGCATCCGCTAGTGACACACTAGGTGCTTGATTGCGTGGGTCCTATCACAGAATAGGCATTACAGAGAGTCAAGCTTTGAGGTTTTAACTACCTGCATGTGTTCGGTGACCTTCTCCACAATCTCGCTTTCATCCATTAGTTCCACCTCTTCGTCCTCGAGAAGCTTTTTCTAGATTATGATAAAATGGTGTCACAGCTTTGTCCAGTATGATTTGGTGAAAGTTTACCTGCGTTTCTTGAAGCGTGTGCTCCACACACGACTGGAACGCCTGCTTGTCATCTTTGTTCACAAAGTCGTGCAATGCCAAACCAAGGACTGACACCGGTAGAATCTCCATTTTCTGCAATCGACGCGATTGTTAGTAGGCAAATCTGATCTCTGTGCTACGGCGACCAACCAAATTACTCTCGGCTACCAGAGCCTCAATATTTTGCTGGTTTAGCTCCTCAGGTGCAAGAAGTTCTTTTTCGCTTCCAGAAGCTGCTCAAGGAAAGCTTTCATTCCCCGACGAGGGAATAACAATAGAGATATTACCGTCAAGTCGCTGTTTTTTCTTTGAAGACTTGGTAAAAATCAGAATGTCATGCGGATTAGCAACCTGCAATTCGGTGAGTTTTATCTTAGTGAAAAAGAGCTGTAGGACTGCAAACCTTGCCGACAAACTTTTGTCCAAATTTTTGAGGATTTATAGTAGTGCAATCTGTGTAATCCACCTGCAAAAATATCACAAACTAGTCTTTCGGTGTACTTTCAAAAATAATCCTTTACCCTGACACGGATGAGAGGGAGCATGCTCTCTTGAGACTGAGACTTGGCAACAGCAGTAGTAATAAGATCTTGCACCTGTAAAAGGCACTTTCGTAAGCGTCCAAGGCAACAAAAATTTAAACACTTGCCACTTCACCCAGATGAGAAAGAACAGAAGTTTGGTCGCTTGGATCAATGCCTTCTATATCCTTCAAGACCACCTGCAGGCAACCAACTTAAAAAATATGACGATTGAAGCACGTTCACTTACATCAGTAAATTCAAAAGGCCTGACGGTTTTGAGTGGAACCTTCGTTGGTCGATATTTATTCCCCTGCAGAGATATTAGAATTCGAAATACAGATAAGTAAATCTTCAAAACCTTGATTTCCAATTGGAGGACATGCTTAGGCTGAGCTTCACCATCCGTCAATGCGGTTGCAACAGAAGAACCTGGCTGCGTGACGTGGAATCCCATCCCGGGAACTTCCTACAGAGTAGAACATAAGTGACGATCCGCAACAACAAATCAGGGTGATCAACCTGTGGGTCCACTATGCACTCGTGCTCGTGACCCCAGACAACAAAATCCAGAAAACGAGCAAGGAAATGCTCATTGATGGCGTTCTTCGGATTTGTCTTTACTCTAAAATATACCGGAATTATTAAACCACGCCAGAATTTTGATACCTGTTTTGATGCAACACAAACATATTGAACCACTCAGATGATGGACAGTCCGCATGATCTGCCGGTCGCTTCCATTGAACACCTTCTGGGGTCTGAAAACCAAAAGAAGATACTTTAGCACTAAACTTAAGACTTCACTTCTAGACCTGAAAAATCCGATTCAAACGTTCATCACGGATATTACCCAGACCATACAAAGCTATCTTTGTTAAGCCCTGCATAAGAGAAATAGGGAAGAGATAATAGTTAAATGAGAGACGGTCTGAAAAAAGTTACCTTTCGAAGAAGAATGGGATGTAGTGCTATTTTTCCAACACCAGAGCCACCAAGGTCGACCTTCCCAAAGTAGTTCACTAGATTTGAAGAAGCCAGGATGTCAATCGCTGATATGTTGTCCTGTACAAAACGTACTTCGTGAAAACCACGAGCTTATGCATCGGAAACTCTTACCACTCCAGCAGGATCGTCGTGATTCCCATGGATGGTGAACACCGGAAGGCCAACATTGTAGTGCGCATCTTCGTAGTTAACATGGCCAAACCTGAGTAAAAGACAATTGTAAGTCTGTTGAGAAAAAGAAAGGAAAGACACATACTTGTTTGGGAAGTTGATGGTCTGATCGCTCACGACTTGGAATTGGACCGGCAGATCGTTGAGGCAATAGCGACGAAGAATATCGATCGTCTTCACCAGCGTGGTAGACGACGGACGATTTTCATGGAACAAATCCCCTCCCAGGAGCATAAAATCGACCTGGCCTCCACTCCAAATCAATTCAACTTGCTGCACAAAGTCACATATCTCACCTGGCGCTCGAAAGCAATCCGGCATATTTCATCGAATGTCCTGAAAGAATCCTGGCGCCGAATCTCATCCTTCTCCAAATACCCCAGATGACAATCCGTCGCGATCAGGATCCTAAATGTGTCGGGATCGAGATCCTCCCTAGCAAGCGCGCCGCACATCGATCAACCACGCGAAATTTTCCAGAGACTTACATTGGACGCTCCCGCCCAGACGAAGAACCCTAAACCCCCTCTACACCCCAATGGAGGAGAATATTCCGCTAGTTACAGTTAAGTCTACTTCCTCCTTTTCCGTTTACACGGTTTGCATAAGGCTATAACGGTAACCAGTAGAAGCTCCACCCTCCGATGTGACAGATCCAACGGCTAGCTTGATAATCCACTCGTCCAGATAAAGGCTGTCCGATCCAGGCTATCGGACGGAAGAGAGCTCGATAGGACGAACACTTCTTCCTAGGTCGATCCACGGCGACAAGGATTGGAAGACGCTCAATCGCGTCGTCCAGGATTCGTGATTCAGGTAGCTCATTCACAGTACCGGCGAAGGGAAAGGGGCGGGCTCCATGAAAATCTTCGCAGCGTCGATGGTGTAGGTTTTCGACTCTAGCATCGAAATATTTCCGAGAATGAGCATTGAGGCGTAGATTTAGCGATGGCTGGGAAGATCGAGGACGACTACGCGAGCAGCTTTCTCGAGCAAGCTCGCCACTGCTTGAGGGATGGGAGCTATGACCGGGCGCTGTCGCTGCTAGGACGAGTCGAGAGGCTCCGCCCGACCATGGGTGGGATCTCTGAGCTCGCCGCGATTGCGCAAGTGTGCCAGGCAGCGATTTGGAGGTGTTCGTGTAGAATGCAGGTTCCGAGACCGAGAAATCCAGATTGGTACCGCGTGCTCCAGGTAGAAATCGACGCTCCAGTCCCATTTTTTTGACAAATCTTTTGCTGTAGGTGGATGAGGAGGCCGATTCCATCGCGATCAAGAAGAGATATCGTCAGCTTGGTAAGTTCCTTCGCTTTTTAGGCAAATAAGCAAATTGACTTTAGCGTTTTCTAGCTCTTTTATTGCATCCGGACAAGAACAAAAATGCAAAATCGGAGGAAGCGTTCAAGCTTGTCTCGGAGGTAAGTAGTGAGGAGAGAAAAACCAAACGGGAACTTACTTTTCTTTCGCAGGCATATGCCTGTCTTTCGGACAGAAGTCTGCGTAGATCATTCGACATTGAACGCTCCAAGTCTTACTGTTCCAGGTGCTACTCACAGGAGTCCTTAAGACGTAAGACGGAGGATGCTAGCAAGTCACAGACCGATTTCCTGAAAACAGAACAGGAAAGGCTTCAGATGTTTCGGGAGAAGGCGAGAGCGAGAGTTACGTCGCTAACGCAGGATATACGGACGAGGCGATCCAGGTGGAACGCAGACTTAGAATCGGCAAGGGAGAAGTACCAGAACAAAAGAGTGGACAGGAAAAGTATGTTTTCGGAGGATCGGCAAACGCGGGAGAGCGATGTGTTTCAACCGGGTTTGCAAACTGGGAGGAAGTTTCACGTTACTCCAGAGTCGGACTTGATGAGCATCTTGAGGGGCCGGAGGCCGTTCGAGCGAGAGAGGTCGCAGGTTTCTGAAAGTTTGGATGGACTTCTAAGCAGGCTCAGGAAAGACTCGAGAGAAGAATTCAGTTTTAGCAGCTACAGGGCCAAGAAACCTCTACCAGGCGAGGTGGACACTCCTGAAAGTTCCAGGCCACGGGAAGGAGCGGCCGCTCCATTCACAGATGGCCAATTCGGTTACTTCAGGGACAACCACGGCCAGTGTTCTGACATTACCAACAGATTCTTTTCCAAGCGTGTTTCATCACTTGCTGAAACACTTCCCGCAAGAAAGCTCTTCAAGGAAGAGGACGAGATCGTAGAAGAAAGTCTGGAAACAGCAGCAGCAGCATCGGATTTGAGGCGTCACACCAAGGCAGCAGAAGCAACAACGGAGAGCTCGTCCCACACGGAAATTCGAAGCTCCATGGCAGCAGAAGCATCCTCCGAGGCAACTCCACCGCCAGCGGCAACTCAGGCAGGAATGTGGAGCTCGAGGGGACACCACAACCTGCGAGGCAACTTGGTGAGTTTGACGTGCCTGCTAAGTATGATTCTCCTTTACTGCATCAATCGTCGGACATAAAAGAGTCGACCATGGAGCAGTCTTCGAAAACTCGATTGTTCTGACCGCTCTCTCAGGTCGGAGACGAGTCCAGTGCGACGCGAACCGAGTACACCGAGAGTCTCTTCTGCTGCGGCTCCAGGAAGAGCGTCCTCAAGGAACAAAGACAGGTACGTATCGATCTTCTTCTTTCGTTATCCTTTTGTTTGTTGTTTGGTTTCAAGCTCACACTCCTAGTTTGTGATGTCTAGAAATCGGAAGAACTGCTGAAGACTCTAGAACGACTCCGTCAAGAGGCCAAGAGCGTGGCTGCGACACTGGACAAGCTGAAACGAAAGGTCGATTCTCACCCGGGTCCTGGCGAGGAGGCTCTTAGATCACCGCCACCAATCGTGGTATGATCTTGTCTACAAAGTCTTTTGCTTCTTTGAAACAAATAACCATGTAGCTAAACTTTTGGTAATCTCATTCCCATTCTTTGTGACATGAATGAGTTTTTGAGTTTATTTCTTTCCTCTTCTGTTTTGCGCTCCATACAAATGAAGTTACTAGATTCCCAACAGCGTGTAAGTTCCTGGCAAGAACTTTTGCAGGAAGCTGGACGTTGGATGAATGGCATCGAAGAAAATGAAAGGCGACGCATTGGAGCACGTCCCAGACGAGAATTTATTGCATCCATCGCCAACCTCCGTGTAGCCAGATCCACAGCAGCCTCTATCAACTACCCTCAATCCTTGAAATCACCAAAAGATGTTGATAATGTCGTGTGATTAGAAACAACTTACCGTATTTTTTAGGGTTTTTCACGGCATCATAGGTAAGGGTGTAAGCACCAAGGGTGAAGTAGAACTTTGAACCGGCCAGTGTGCTTTGGAGATTCTGAATCATTGCCTGGAGCGCGAGATTGAAAGCGTACACCAGTTGATTCGTGCCCTCGTTACAGTTCCTTCTGCAAAATGAATTTGGAAATGCTCCACACTGGAGAGTGATGGAGATTGGAGTGCAGCCGAGTGGCCCAATTGCAAACACGAAGAAGTTTCGAGCACCAAGCTGGTAGGCAGCCTAGAAAAATGCGTACGGAATTAGACAAAATGTTCAAGCGTCCGTACACATAAACATATACTTGGAGCAGCTTCCTGTACGTGTTTACGAGCAGCTGCCGGTACTGCGCATCGCTAAGGCCAGCGGCTTCCGTCTCGTCAGAGAAATCATTGGATCCAACGCTAAAGATGAAGAGGGCCCTGGAGATGGTCGAATTGGCCTGGGTGCCTCCCACACAATTTCGGAGGTTTCGGATGTAAGTTTGGAGCCAGCCCAGCTGAACAGACATGGTGTACGGTGTCTGTGATCAAGGAAGATGCACAAGTTAAAATTATATGAAACAAGCAGGAAAGCCTAAGAAATATGTACTTACAAGAATCAAAGAATTTGAATCAATGATCCCGGCACCTCCAGATGCTAAGTTGGTGCCGCGAGCAAGATTTGTACATGTTGAAGCTGGATCAAGGTAAGCCTTGGGAGGCTGATAACCCTGTCTCGAGGCTAAACAAACGTTTGTACTACTGAGATTATATCGCGGAGAATATACCTATAAAGTCTGGAAGTATGTATCCATCAGCAAACCGGCCGGTTGGAACTCCATTGTTAATGAGCCTCCCAAATGGCAAGTGATTTGCTCTTGCGATGGTGAAGGGGATTGTGAAATTGTTATTGTTGCCGTAGTCGACAATGGAATCGCCAAGGATTATAATGGCAGGGAACTTTTGTGCGGAGGTTTGGATCACGGCAAACAGCACTAGAAGCGCAACGAAATAGCTCAAAGCTTTCTTCATTCTCTGCTAGTGCTAGAGGAGTTGTGATGAGTTTTCTGGTGATTAATAGGATCTATAATCATTGGTGATTACCAAACAGAAATTGGTGGGTAAGCCTTGACTTTGGGGTCTCCATATTTGATGCCGCGTGCGGAAATCACGAAAGCAGCTAAAAAGTCTTTTTTAATTTAATGTGGCTTGTTTCCTTCCTGTCGCAAGGTATATCACAAATTTAAACATCCCTTTAGCAGAATTTGCAAAGTTTTATTTATTTAATTTTTTTTCTATATTTATTTAATGAATATACAGTATGCTAAAATATTCTAGCAAGTCCACTAGTTAGATTCCCAGGAGTGTGTAAGTTCCTGGTGCGAGCTTCTGTGTGAAGCTGGACGTTGGATGAATGGCATCGAAGAAAATGAAAGGCAACGCATTGGAGCACGTCCCAAACGAGAATCTATTGCATCCATCGCCAATCTCTGTGTAGCCAAATCCACAGCAGCCTCTATCAACTACCCTCAAACCTTGAAACCACCAAAGATGTTGATAATGTCGTGTGATACTTTGCCTTTAGAAACAACTTACCGTATTTTGCAGGGTTTTTCACGGCATCATAGGTAACGTTGTAAGCATCAACGGTGAAGTAGAACTTTGAACCGGCCAGTGTGCTTTGGAGATTCTGAATCATTGCCTGGAGCGCGAGATTGAAAGCGTACACCAGTTGATTCGTGCCCTCGTTACAGTTCCTTCTGCAAAATGAATTTGGAAATGCTCCACACTGGAGAGTGATGGAGATTGGAGTGCAGCCGAGTGGCCCAAGAGCAAACACGAAGAAGTTTCGAGCACCAAGCTGGTAGGCAGCCTAGAAAAACGCGTACGAAATTAGACAAAATGTTCACGCGTCCGTACGCATAAACATATACCTGGAGCAGGTTCCTGTACGTGTTTACGAGCAGCTGCCGGTACTGCGCATCGCTAAGGCCAGCGACGGCCGGGTTGAGATTCTTGTAAGAGAAATCATTGGATCCAACGCTAAAGATGAAGAGGGCCCTGGAGATGGTCGAATTGGCCTGGGTGCCTCCCACACAATTTCGGAGGTTTTGGATGTAAGTTTGGAGCCAGCCCAGCTGAACAGACATGGTGTACGGTGTCTGTGATTCAAGGAAGATACACAAGTTAAAATTATGAAACATAAGAAATATGTGCTTACAAGAATCAAAGAATTTGAATCAATGATCCCGGCACCTCCAGATGCTAAGTTGGCACCGCGAGCAAGATTTATACATGTTGAAGCTGGATCAAGGTAAGCCAGGGGAGGCTGATAACCCTGTCTCAAGGCTAAGCAAACGTTTGTTATTGATACTACCGAGATTATATCGTGGAGATATACCTATAAAGTCTGGAAGTGTGTATCCATCAGCATACCGGCCGGTTGGAACTCCATTGTTGATGAGCCTCCCGTATGGCGAGTGATTTGCTCTTGCGATGGTGAAGGGGATTGTGAAATTGTTATTGTTGCCGTAGTCGACGATGGAATCGCCAAGGATTATAATGGCGGGGAACTTTTGCGCGGAGGTTTGGATCACGGCAAACAGCACTAGAAGCGCAACGAAATAGCTCAAAACTTTCTTCATTCTCTGCTAGTGCTAGATTGAGGATTCAGCTGCAGCTAGTTGAGTTTTGTGGTGTTTAATAGGACCTATAATCACTTGGTGATTACCAAACAGAAATTGGTGGAAGATAAGCGTTGACTTTGGGGTCTCCATATTTGAAGGAAAGGGGGTGCCGCGTGCGGAAAGTTTGGCTTTGGCCGCTAAATGTATAGCTGCTTGTTTCCTTCGTATAGCAAGAGGTATATGGTACAACTTATATCAAAGAAGTCAAAGCTACCAAACATTATTGCAGAAACGACCGAAGAGAATTTTATGAAGTTTTATTTAATTAGCTATATTTAATCATTTCTTTAATGTATGCTAGAATATTCTAGTATACTTATTTTTAAAGTACAAGACAAAACTACATGTCCAGTAGTTAGATTCCTAGGAGTGTGTATGTTCCTGGTGCCAGCTTCTGTGTGAAGCTGGACGTCGGATGAATGGCGTCAAAGAAAATATAAGGTGACGCATTCGAGCACGTCCCAAAAGAGTACACGTTGCATCCATCGCCAATCTCTGTGTAGCCTAAGCCGCAGCAACCTCTGTCAACCACGCTCAAACCTACACACAACAAGCAAGATTTAGTAATCAACCAGAAACATCAGACAAATGCCCACCATATTTTCCTGGGTTTTTCACAGCATCATAGGTAACGTTATAAGCAGCAAGACTGTAGTAGAAGGTGGAACCGGCCAGAGTGCTCTGGAGATTCTGGAGCATTGCCTGGAGCGCTAGATCGAAAGCGTAAACCAGCTGATTTGTGGTCTCGTTGCAATTGTTTCTGCAAGCTGAAGGATATGGTCCGCACTGGAGAGTGAGGGTGATTGGAGTGCAGCCGAGTGGACCAAGAGAGAACACAAAGAAGTTTCGAGCACCAAGGTTGTAGGCAGTCTGAGAAGTTCATGCGGAATTAGACAATGCTCCCGGAGTTCACAGGGGACTGTAGACTCATGTACCTGGAGTTCGCTCCTGTACGTGTCTATGAGCAGCTGCCGGTACTGGGCGTCGCTTAGGCCAGAGACTGCCGGGTTGAGGCCTTTGTAGGAGAAATCGTTGGATCCGACGCTAAAGATGTAGAGTGCTTTGGAGATGATGGAGTTGGCTTGGGTGTTTCCCACACAGTTTTGGAGGGTTTGGATGTATGTTTGGAGCCAACCAAGCTGAACAGTCATGGTGTACGGTGTCTAGTAGAAATAAAGCCATTAGACGAAGATAAACTGAAATTCATTGTCAATTGTCTCACGAGAATCAAAGAGTTTGTGTCGATTATTGCGGCACCTCCGGACGCCAAGTTTGAGCCTCGAAGAAGATTTGTACATGTCGAAGCTGGATCGAGATATGCCAAGGGAGGCTGATAACCTTGTCTCAAAGCTGAGGAACAAACAAATCCATAGGATTATAACATAGAACAAGATCTAAAAGTTGAGAACTCTACCTATGAAGTCTGGGAGTGTGTAGCCATCCGCATATCGGCCCGTGGGAACCCCATTGTTGATAAGCCTTCCATACGGTGAATGGTTTGCCCTTGCAATCGTGAAAGGAATCGCGAAGTTGTTGTTATTGCCATAATCCACAACTGAATCGCCAAAGATAATCAGTGCCGGGAACTTTTGCGCAATGATATGGGTGGCCAGGAGCAAAATCATAAACAAATACTTCTTCATCGTTTAAAAACTAACTCTGATATATTTCTCGCCCAAATCGATCTCTGCCTTCGCGTTTTATGCTCAATTCGAGACGTCCACGCAATTCCCAAAACCATATCAGATTTCTTGGCGATTTACCAAACAGCAGCACACCACACGTGGAAGAAAGATAGCTTGGTGTAGAAACTTTTCGAAGATTGTTGCGCGGGCTCTTATGAGCCGTCGGATGGAGTAATTCAAACAGGGGCGTTGGATGGTGCTAGGTTTAGGGTTTATCGCGGATGGTGCTCGAAGGGATTGTCGAGCATGGCGCCGGTGGGGTGCTGATCAAGGACAGTGTCGCTGCGTCTGGTGGATTTGTACTCCACTGGCTCCTGAAGGCTCTTGTTGCCCGAGCGGCTGCTTCTAGCGATGGATCCAGAGTGGTTTTTGTGGCGCTCGGTGCTCCATTTCCTCACTACGCGAGGATTGCAAGGAAACAAGTAGGTTTTCTTGGGAAATGTAGAGATTTCTTTGCGAATGGTTCGTTACAGGGATGTAATCTCATTTCATGTATGGAGAAGGGCCAGTTAGCGTTTATCGATCTATTCTCTGATCCTGGCACTTGGAAGTACTCTTGCACAGCTCGTAAGTTCTTATAGTTTTATTTTGTCAGTCTTCCATTTTATCTCTTTTGATTCCTTCAGCGCAAGATGGCGAGAATCCTCTTTTCTTGCTGTTCAAACGGATCAAGGAAGCTGTCAAACATACATCGGGCATGATATACATTTTCATCGATGATGTAGCTCTGCTGGAAGTGATCGTCCAAGGTTCCAGAAATCGCGTTCTAGATTTTCTACATTACTGTCGAGCACTAGCGTGTGGAAAGCAAAAGGTTCTTTTTCCGTGCAATTGTAGGCATTACCTTTCTTCTTTTCTCTCTCGTTCTTTCAGGGATGTTCCATCGTGATGTTGCTACACGAGGACATCTATGCCGAGGATGAATCGTTGGCATTCGTGCTGGAGCTGGAGCATAGTTCCAACGTCACAGTTCGCGTGGAGCCTTTAAGCACCGGGCATTCATCCGACGTTCATGGCCAGGTCTCTCTCGCTTTCTTTTCTTTTCATTTCGTGTAGGGAAGGAAGTTTCATGATCCAGTGCGTGTGCTTTGCAGATTACCGTGGAGTATCGAGATGTTTTCTCGACCGAGCAAGCGAACGTCCGGAGACACTTCAGAGTGGCCGAAAGCACTGTCGACTTTTTCTCCCCGGGAGACCATCTGAAGATTTGAAACTCTTTGCCTGCGTAGAGTTAAGTTTCGTTTCTTATTCCCATGTAAACTTGTTTTGCCTCTCGAAGCGTTCCTTCCTTCCCCCGGCGACTGGGCTAGCGCTTTGGTCCTTGACCACATTAACTTGTTCCTTCCAGGTTAACTTGAAAAGCGAGAAACATTCTACCAGTGATAAGGGAGCCGTTGGATGGTACGATTCCTAGACTTGAATATCTGCTGCATAGTGTCTGTTTATGCCATGCATTGTGATTACAGTCCAAGCGCTCCAGGCATCTTAGCCACCTTTGAGTTTGTCGTTAGCCATGAATTTTCCCCAAGATCCCTACGTTTGTTTTATACTCCCAGAAAGATTGCCTGTCCTGACACACGAGCTCATGCTTGCAGGAGGCGACAATGGATCAAACAAGCAACGAGTTTATTCTTTTTCCCTTCCAGTTGGAGCGTAGAGTTTCTCCGACGTCAACATCTTTGCTGAACCGGGCTTGCATCTGTATCAGGTAAATTTTCTAGCTTTTCCTCGCAGGTCCTTCTAAAACTCGCATTGTCGTGCTTTACAGGTAAGCTGTTTGTTTGTGTACCCGATACTTAAAGCGAATGAACAGATGAAAGCTTCGGGATGGACTGGATTCGTCATGAGTACGTCAGTTGGATGCTCGAGAGTGGACTGGCTTTGCTGGTGAGTGGTGCATCACAACACACACAAACAAAAAAAAAGTAAAGCTGCTATCGCGAGGCAGTACTTTGATGCAGATTCCCGTTCGTGGTGGTGGTCTACCTATGTAAACAAAGCCACTTTCGTCGGGCTGCGAGGTAAGAAGTCGCGATTTGTACATAGTTTTATGCCTTCCTGTCCTTCTTTTGGGCCTGACGCGCTGAGCTTTGCTTGAGCCGTTCTCAAACGTTTTCGTTTTCTCTTTATCCCGCAGTTTGGAGGCAATGGAGGAGGCTACAGTGATGTTTGCCGGTTGTCTTCTGGATGTCCGAAGAAATCCTACTCTGCAAATCATACCGGAGAAGATCATACGATATGGAGATGGCTCGGTAAGTGTGATCTCACTTATTTTATCTCCTTTACTTGGACTCTAATATAATCAACCGTACGTTGTTCTTACATGGAGTGGAACAGCGATGTGGGGTATGATAATGAAAAGCTGTGATGCGATGCGAGACGTTCAGTTCTCGAGTCTCCATCGAACGACTGTGGGTAACATGTTATGATTGCAATTAGCAAGCATCGCCATTGTGAAAGTTATGGAGCTTATGATGTTTTCTCTCCAGATCTAAATGCCAAACTACTTGAGCTTGCCAACAAACGATGGAAAGGAAGAAAAACCAGAAGAAAGGAAAGGTAGTTTCTTTTGGTTTCAAAGCCACCAGAGTTTGGCCGATTTACAGGGCATCCGTATTGACAATTTTGTCTATGTTCGTCACCGACGCTCACAGACAGCTTGCCAAACTTTGTACCAAATATTCCAAAGGTCAAGATTGGCCATCCGCGAGCTGATTAAACGAAAGAAAGAAAAAAAAAAAAAAATCACGCCGCTACGGAACAAAGGATCCTTTCAAA